AGCTAGAAGCAGAGCTAGCAAACAAGGCCAAGGAGTTCAAAGAAGCAAAGGGCGGCGCATGGCTCATTGAAGCTTCGGAGCTGGCTTGGCAGTTGTGGTCAGAGCTTCAAGGCTATTTCAGGCTGGGGTGGCACATCGCCGTTGAACGTTGGGCCATGATGAGGCCATACCTTCAAGCCGCGGCGTTGTGCTCATTTGGGGCTGCTTACCCGGGCTCTTTGGTAGTCTTTTTTAGCTTTCTCCTGTTCAGTCTCGTCGTCATAGTAGCCAGTGCACGGCTCCTGAGCCGCCTGCGGCTTCGACCGGCCAAGACGCCCAAGGACAACGAGCCATCGGTTTCTTTTTTTCAGAAGGAGCCGAAGAGAGAAGCGAAGACTGCCAAGCTTCAATTTGAGTCGGAGCCGTTCTTACGTATTGAAGGCCCCCGACTGTTCGTGAGTTGAGTGGCTACACATGCAATGTAAACGTGGTATGTCAAGTCAGCTTAGGCTTAGGCTTGTACTGCGACTTCCAGTGCATGCATCTGCTTGGGAACAGGTCGCCTGGATCGATTGGAGCAAGTGCTTGCTACCAAGCTCGATCGCCTCAGCGCTCAAGGAGCAGTGCAGCCTGCAATGCCTCCCACGAAGCCGGCCGAAGCTGGCCCCAAAGTTCCAGCGATGGTCCCACCCACAATATCTGCCACCAAACCCACCGCAGCTGCGCCCGCCGCAGTCGCACATACCGTAGCTGCACCAGTGCCCGCCCCTCCTGCTCTGGTACCGCCTGCACCTTCAGCCAGTCCGTCGCCACCACAGACATCGCCCGCGCCTGCAGTCCGAGCTCTGCCCAGACACACCTCAGCTACCACAGCATCGCCCACTGTGAGGCCTCCTGCGCAGCCCCCAAGTACTGGCCCATTTTCGACAAGGACGGCCACACCCAGACTGTCCACGGCAAGTCCCGTAGCAAAGGAGTCGGCCGTGACAAAGCCGCCGTCAGCACCTTGCAGCTCTGGCCCAGGTTTAGCCGGCACGCCAGATGCCACCAAGCCAGCAAGCACGTCGGCAGCAACTGCAGCGAAGGTCCAGTCAGACCCTCGGGGGCGAGCGGCATACAGCAGGTGTGATACAAGCATGATGCGAGCAGTGGCATGTGAGCGGTGTAAGCTCAGGTGCAGAGTACGGACATCATTTGCAGAGGCCTGGCCTTTCCCCGTTCATCTTCCTTGAGGGCGCTTGCTGTTCTCATCCGGTGCAGGAATCCCTGGAAGGCGAAGTGTGACTCTGAGAAAGGGCGCCGAGTGCCATGTCTCAGATTTGCCTTCTCACAGGCGGTAGTCCGGTTGTTGGCTTGATGCTTCCATGTTCCGGTACTGATCTGCATTCTGCCCTGACATGTGATATGCGGCTCCAGTAGGAGTGTGTAGTCAGCAGGAATCAGCAGGATTTGCTTCAAAATGCTTACCCTTTCATACATGTTTTGCATACCATTTCATGGGTGTTCGATTGCCAGCTTTAAGCGAAGTCACTGGCGCATGATGTGGCATGCGAGCTTGGCGGCGTTTCTTAACAGAGGCTCGTTTCATCTTGTGAACGCAGTAGCCACTTACAATTTACAACGCTCTCCTGCGTATCCTGTGACAATGACAATGGCTACATGAGGAAGGATGGTGACAAGCTCAGAGGCTGGGGGTCATTGCTCTCCGTCCAACCCCCTTCTGCCAAGGACCTCAGCTTCGCGAGCTTATCGGCCGTGCTCTCAGACAATGAGAGAACTTAGAGCACCGTTTCTTCATGTTTCTTCAAAGCGGCTCTTGACTGAGGCCGACCCTGATGACTGGGATGAGGAGGTCGAGAAACTGGGAGGGCAAAGGTGTCAGGGCAAAGAACATGACAGGCACCACCGCCACCCCGGACGCAGGCGCGCGGTGCCCCGAGCTCGCCAGTCCGAGTACAATCGCCAAGAGGCTTGCAGACTGAGGCAGCAAATTAGGTTCCTGACTGTCCTTTCCCAGGACCGCCGCCTTCCAAGATCCACGGCCACCCAGGAACAAGGTTCGAGCTTGCTTGACTAAGCTTCGCTTCTCGGTGCACAAGCCTACCTTGAGGTACTTTGTGATCAAAAGCAGCAGCCACAAGAACCTGGTACTCTCCATTGAGCACAAGGCACTGTCTACCGGAGCCTGTTAAGGCTACTAGCTCTTAGCACGTACCACATGTCGAACCTCATGCACATGCAAAAGCAATTGCTCACGCACAGTTGCGAAAAGGCAGAAACATGCAACGCAGGAGTTTTCAGGCTTGCAAGACCATGTGTTCAACATACAGGGGGAGAGGCCTTGCAACTTCAGAGACGGCTACAACTTGCTGCAGGATGAAGCTCAACTGCAGGACATCATCATAACCACCACATCACCACCATCATGCCAAATCTGTTGGAACGTAAACATGTCACAATGGCAACGGTGCATGATGCATGTGCAACCGGTGCAGCCCAAGCAAACGCCAAGCCATCTGCCTCCTTGTGCTTAAGCAAGAATAATGGCCATGGCAAGCCAACAAACCTTCAAGCATTGGTTGCAGCATGTTGGGAAATCTTGGGACGGTCCCCTGCTGAATGCCATTCGAGGGCATTCTAGATTAATATTAACGCTACCACATGTCGCCTCGGTGGGCTCGAGCGCTGCGCCGTCAGAGTGGGAGGTTCACTCGGCAGGTCCAGTGGGTTCCTGAAGCAGGAATGGCGAAGGCGGCAGCATTGCGCAGAACTACTGTAATGTGCATCGTGCCATCGTACCCAAGAAGCCCTGCATAGTCTTGCCATTTTTTGCTGCTTCATTACCCAACCCCTTACAGAGCCCTAGGTGTGCGGCTGAAACGCAGTTGCCAGATGAAGCCCAGTGCAATACTTCAATGGCCTTGCGAATTTTTCCGATGTATTTGCCTGGCAATTTACATAATCTTCCAGCTGCAGAGTTGGGTTGAAAGCCACAATATCGCTGAAGGGGGGGGGGGGGGGGGGGG